TCTTTCTGGAGATTTGTTTCAAAAGTTAGAGTCAATCTTAAATGGGATAGAAAAGAACAATCAATAGAAAAAAAATATTCATCACAAGGTATTAAATATGGGTTAAAGTATTTTTTTCCCCAAAAGATTCTATAGATGTTAGCATGCAAAAATACTGGTCTTTCTTCTGGCATGTAATGTTGATTACACTTTGTCCTTCACTGAGATTGCATCATCTGTTATTCAGTTTAGCCCCTCAGTCTGGGTCTCTGTCTTTCAGAAAACACACTTTTCAAGCATTTCCAAATCACTTATTATGTGTCATAGGAAAGTCCCAAGGTTTTGAGATGACATCTCTTCCTGTAAAGCCACCTTGATTGCCACATTCACTTGCATTTTCTTCCATGAACATTTTAAGTTGTTCCTATAAATTACAAAAGATACATTTTCATGTAGAATCTGCTTTACAGCAAGACAAATGTAGTAGAAATTGTATTGTCATTTATATAGCTCTTTTTTCTAATCTGAATTTAAAAAAAAGTTACATTTTGGAAAAGAATGCCTAAAAGGTTATAGCCACACTGTGAACTGCTTTGCACATACAGTCATCTGAGATAATTCAGAAAACTCTGCTTCTTGTACTCTCTTTTCTGAATCCGTCATGTATTTTGTTGATACCTATGGGGAGAAATATTATCCAACTCTTTGTGAAGGTTCTATGAAATTAGCTTGATACGGTTACATGTTTTGTGAATAAAGCTGATAATTTTCTTTTTGGTGGGTGTTTACAAGTTTCATATTTATGTAGATCTACTCAGGCTTTGCTAATTAAAGTCTGACTTTATTGGCAGTCATAATTAGAGCTCTTCAAGATCAGCTCTTTTTTTTTTATAATTCTTCAGATAGCAGATTGTCTAAAAGGTTGTATCAGGATGGCCCTATGTCTACCTCTGCTCCCAAGCATACAAAAAGTGGTGTTTAGAAAAATCAACAAAATGAAATACAAAAAATAAGGATTTTGAGGCTAATTGAGAAAAATTCTTTAATGGTTAAGGTAAACCAATTTAAAAGTTTGGTATAATTTTTAAAACTAGTTTTAAAATTGTTATTAAAGCAACATAATTTAAAACTCTTGGTTTGACTTTTCCCAAACTTTCCACAGAAACCAGTTCATGTTAAGGAATGACATACAAAGTCTCACAAAAGTATTTTAGGTGGAACAGATTATGTTCTGTGCTTTCACTCCTAGTGATCAAGGAACACTGCCTCTGTTTAATTACAATTCTGTCTTCACTAAAAGAAAGTCACAGTGAATATAAGTCTTTGGTCTGTACTCCCATACCTTAGAACTGACTTTAAGAGGAAATCCTCTCTCTTCAGGATGCATGGAAATCTTTGTTGGGCAGTCTATGTTTTTCTTTTTCTGGTTTCCAACTTTTTGTAGCACAATTTCAAATGCTCTTGAGGTTCCATTAAGCATGTTTAGACTGCCCCTGAGATACAATGAAAGGGATGTTGTTCTATCTTTACCTCATACATAGCCAAATGAGTCATTGAGGGAGGAAATTTAAAGAGGAATTAGCAAACAGTTAGGATTTTTTCCTTGTTAATAACCTGTTACGGAACGATCATTATGCCAGGAATAGACATGTCAGTCTGGACAGTAAAAGTCATAGTCCAATGCCGTGGAAAGTAAAACAGTTTAGAAAACAGATTCCTCTGCCCCAATACTACAAAGTGCACATGTAAAAACAATCTTCCTATCTTTTTGTCATAATTACAGTGAATATTTAATACAAATATTGGTTTGGCCAATTTTTTGATCAGCCACCACAATTGTGCATTAAACCCTTAAACAGTCAGCTAAATGTAAGCAGTGCAAAATGTGACTGCATGTGAAAAGGTCTATTCAAAGATGTTTGTTCACACCACTAAAATAGAAGAAGGTTGGAAGAGGAATTTAACCTGGGTTTGGGACCTGTTTCTTTATGACTCCTTTTGCTGTTTGGTACACATGCTTAAGCTTCTCCACATCCTAATTTCCCCTTCTTCCTGTTAATTGAAAGAAGAAATTTCTTTCTTCAATTCTCTATGTCGTTTCTGTAGAGAGTCTGCATTTAAAAGGGAATCCACATTTTTAAAAAGTATATGAATCCACATCTTTGTGTCTGTGAAGGTTTGATTTATAGATGTTGTGATATAAATCTTAAATCTCTTGCTTTCCAAGTTTTCTGTGAGCACTTGAACTCTGGCTGCTGATGGTTCCACATCCATAGGATGAGAGATTTAGATGAATGGATATGGCTTGTACGGTAGAAGCCAGTTCAGTATTTATAGTTTACACTCAGAATTTTAGAATAAAATAACACTGATCCTGCTTTTTAGTCCAACCGTTTCAGTCTATGTCTTCCTTTCATCTACTGTCATGCAAAGAATTCATTCAGTTCAAATAAAGGTCTTTGTGCTGTGACTGGACTGTGAGATTGCCATGTTTCTGAAAGGTATCAATGCGATACCCATTTTTATACCCGAAATAGCATATTTCTTCTGCTGCAAATAGGTATCAAGAAATCTTGAAAGCTCATGTAAGTAAAATAATGAGGCAATGAATTCAGAAGATCAAATAATTTAAGTTTCCCTTGTTCTATATTTATCTCAATATTCTCGTCTCATTCCTCAAAATATGAAGAATGATAGTTATGGAAATGCATGAAGTAAAGTGCATATTTAACATCTATTCAGTTATCAAAAAAGAGTTGCAGCATGGCTACTAGAAACCTAATGGTTTTCTGTGCAACATATTTATGCTAGCTGTAAAATTAAGAACTGTCATTGAAACCCCACATCACCTGACTAAGTGCGAGACAAATAAATCCAAGAGTTCTACTGCTGTAAAAATGTCAGTGAACTGAATGGCATGAAAGTACCACACGATATTTTTATATATGCATACCAGCCACTAGGATGCATTCATCGATAGAGGATTTAATTGACAAATTTTAAAGCTAAGATCTGACCCTCTTTTGATTTCTAGTTAACTCAATGACCTTAAAGTGTTTTCATTTGAGCTGTAGAACCGAGTATCCCAAGTATAAAGAATTGATGACTTACCTGTAAGTGTCATTTGAGGTTAAAGATACAAATGTCGTAAAGAGTGTTGCACTGCCTTTATGTACTTTATTCAAATTATGATACTTATGTGCTAAAAAAACTGCAGTTGACATCATAGAACTGGATTCAATATGTAATGTATACACTTTCAAGTGGTAGAGGATTGTAAAGGAAGGATATGGGTAAGAAAATTAATTGAAAGGTAAATTCCAAATGGTAATGTGTTCAGATGATGTGCAGAAAATATAACACAGTCTAGATGGAAGAATGAAAGGACCTAAAGGATTTCAGGGAGGTTTTGCAGGTTGTCAGGGTTTTGTTTTGGTGTTGTTTTTTTGTTTTTTTTTTTTTTTGCAATGCTCTTATGGAGATTATTATGAAGCAATGCCTAGCAAGCCCAAACTGTTAATTTCCTTTTGGTTTCTCATAGATTCTAAATTAAATAACCATACAAAGCATTGTGCTAACTGATAGCAGTCGATGGGAATGGTGAAAATCCTTACAGTGCTATATATTTTGTTTAGTCCCATAGCTAAAGCTAAAGTTTCTCTGAGAAATATTGTCTTGATGAAGACTTTTCTCTTAAGGTGTTAGTGCCTGTGTCCTTGAATATGAGAAAAGAGGAGGACTTAGAAAATACTGTCTTTAGAGCAGTCACTGTTTGTAATTATGAGCTATTGCCTTAATCTATTAGCTATGAAGCCACCTGTTTGCCCAGTATAAATAGCTTAGAATTTCCTGCAAGGAAATTACATGAAACATCAATAAGGAATGATATTACATTTTAGGTCAATATGACCATCATTACTTGGCATTTATCTTTTCCTACTGATATCATACTTGGCAGCCAGTATCATAGAAGACTAAGAAATTGTTGCTCTGTATTTTGTTTTCATTGGTGTTAAATTAGCCTGTTCGGTAATGACTGTCATTCATTCTGCTTGTTTTAGTGGATCCTTGGTATTTCATTTTTCTTATCGTACATTGTGAAGACAGTAATACATAAAGATGGATTAGTGCTGTGATGGTTTCAGAGGTGTTAGACCATCAGGGTCTTTGGGTGTAAATGTTTTAAAAGGGTGCAGAATGAACTTTGCCTCTTCTCTCTGCTGGTTTTGTCACTAAGACAGGAAAGGAAAGTTCCTGCAGCCCTGTGCCTAGCCTAGACCTAAGAAGAAACCTCATCTTGCAATAGATGCCTGCTTTTGTTTATACTCAGGCTTGATTGCTGGCTTTGTGTTACTGGCGTAGAGAGTTTAATGGAACATTAGTTTTATGATTTCTCAGCCTTTTGTGTAGTCATTTCTGTCTTTAAAGCATAACTACCTGTAACTCACTTTGGGTTTTTAAACTACGTAATGTAAATGTAGAAGATGAAGTTTCAAGTACCTATTTTAGCAAAAAACATGGGTACCTGGGATACTAAAATACTTCCATACACTAAGAACTTTGATATAGATGTGTTTACAAATGTTGGCTTTTTAATGTTGTGTTTATTTCATTTCAGTTTCAAATAAGATAAATAACACGTTCTCATCTCTTCCTAATTCATGAGTAACATTTACTTCTTGTCCTCACATTTCAAAACATTTCCATTATGCGTAGCCTCTTTTTCAGTAGCATTTTTCACTAAATTCTGTGTGCTTTCATCAAACCTAGAGGGACTTGGGATATATTTGAACAAACAATTAATTTCCAGAATTTTTTTTTTATTTAAATAATTTTTAAAAAATTTTTTTCCTTCAAATTTGAGTCTGAAATTGCATACTAATTTTATATGCTATGTAGAAGGAAAATTTGAAATTAACACTGATGTATAAAATAAAAAACATTTAAGTAGTTAATATCAGTGATCAGGATGCATGAGAAATGAATGTGCAGACCTCGCAACATAACTGTTTTTTATTCAGTTATAGGTGCCCAGCGCAGGAGAAGTCCCAGTGCCCTTGCCATTGAAGTATTTGAATCACATTTGGGAAGTCATATTTTACAGGTAAAAAAATGGCTTTTCCAAGAAAAATTGAAATAAATACCTAGTCTTATTACTGCCAATAATTTGAATAGTATTGTTGTCAGCACTTATATTAATGAAATCTTTTTTTTATGCTCATATTTCTTGTGTTTAGAAAGTCTGTGATAGGGAGGGCAAGTGTTGTTTTAGTTGAATCACAATACTTTGTTGTTTAGAATTGTGCAGTTGGTGTTTGTTCACAGAATGCCTTCATGTTTAGTGTATGTGTGTAAAAGGTAGTATTTTGTTTTGGTGATCTGATTTGTTTTACATGTCATGTATCAATTTAGGGTTGTGATTATTTCTCCCATTTTGGTTTAGGAGTACTGCTTTCTTCTATGATATTCCAGTTGTCACAATTGTATATCACAAATTTGGAGCAATCTGCAAAGAATAAAAAATGAACAGCAGCATGACTTGTAGGTCTCCTTAGCTATGAGATAAAAACTAATCTGGTATTTGTCAACCAATTTAGTCACATGGTACATGTCATCATATTCCAGGAAGATTAAACTGAAAAACAATGACCTGAGGGAAACATCCTTGTGTATGCTTTGTTGTGCTGGGGTTACTACAGCCTTTCTTAGTTTGCCATAATCAAATGTGGAATAGAAGCAGTTAAGAAGAAAATGTGATGTTTTTGCAGGAAGGCAAACCCCAGCCCCATGAAAATAAAAACCACATAGTCTTTTCTAAGTGTGGCACTGAAAAACTGCTCTTACTTAGCAATGTACACAGCTTCTCAATGCAAATATATTGCCTGGTGTATTATCTTTTGAGAGGTACGAAAGAGGGAAATTAGGATATTATCATGAGAAATATTCCACTTAATTTGAAATGATTGAGAGCTATCTCTCTGTACTAACTCAGCTGTGGCATTCAGAAGCACTGTGGATAATGTCAAATTTTTCACATCTTTATAAAGTAACTAAATGTGGAAAAGCAACAAAGAAAATTTTAGGAAAACATGAAATTAACTGGTAGAATTAATTTTTCTCTGGAACAAAAATAATGAACTAAGTGATTTGCTTAGTTGTGCGCTCTTGGCAGAGGTCTAGGTCAAGTTTTTGATTCTGTAAGCAACTACTTCTGTTGTAGTTACCATGTCATAGATCTGCTGCAGTATCTACAGTACTGTGTTTGCACATTAGGCTTAAACACTGTTATGCTGTCTCGTACATGTAGAAAAAAAGAAGAAACAGCAGTTTTGTGATATTTCAGTTAACATGATTTGTAGTTTTTTTGAGTGTGTAAACAGATGATAGATCCTAAATGAATGGTTTTTACAATATTATTTATAACTCATATCTAGATAAAATATAATTGAAATTGATTTATATGCACTCCTTAAGTGGTAGCGGCCAGTCTTCATGAACGAAGAACCCGGGAAGGTCTTTACACCTTCCAACCTGCGCACTGGATTTTTTAGGTGAGACACAGTGTGCGCGGAACTGAGCCCACCCTTCAATCCTAAGGTTCATCTGCCGGGGCCAAGCGAGCTTGGACAGTGGCAGCGAGGTCCTCAGGACGTAGATGGATTGCCTTACAGGGCTAACGAGCTCCATCTGCCCGGGGAGTGGCCCCGACTGGGAATCAAACCCGGGTCTCTGCGGTGACAGCGCAGCGCCTTTACCCTCTAGACCACCAGGGGCTCACTCCTTAAGTATGACTCTTATGAATGACAATGAAATAACCTAGGATGGCCACTTTGAAAACTACCAGATATTTGAGTTTTTCTCTTAACTGATACTAAAACAATCAGTGACTTTCGTACTTGTTAAAACCAGATCCCCATTGTGGTTTTCATTTTTTGTACTTATTTGTCATAAATTAGGGTGTTTTCAGGATCTAACTTTATCATACTACTACTAAAAAGTCACCTGTATTGCACTTTTACCTGTAACTGAGGATTTTCAATCAAAATTATCATCGGCATTGTATTGAATATCTGTTGAGGTGTGACCTTTTCATAGGAGGTAATGCTTTTATCAAATTAGTTCCATTAATGTCTCAACTGATAATAGGAAGTTCCACTCTGATATTTACAAGAGATAGATTGTTGATGATGGATAAAGGACAAAAAGAATTTATAGTGGTGGATAGTTTTGTCTGTTTTAGATTTTGTCTTATTTTAGAAGAGTAATCAACCCTTGAGACAAAAACCTTGGTCATGCATTCAAACGTACCACTTCTAAACAGATCAGAATGAACTTCAAAGTATTGCCTTGTGGTCTTATAGGCAGAAAGACAATCACTAGAAGACAAAATGATTCTTAAAACAACAATCAGACAGATTCTGTGGTGGAATACAGTTCTAATATGTTTTCACTTAGTCTGCTGCTCCTAGAAATTATTTTCAAATAAGTATCATGATAAGTATTGTTTGCAAGTGAAGTAAACAACCTTGATTACACTTTGGGAATTTTGATTTCAAAGTCTGCTATCTGAAGAAGTTGAATTAATAGTTTGTGTAATCCCTTTTGCTATTAATATTTTGAAGACTGAGTTAAGTGTAAGCTCAGAAATTAAGGAGCCTCTCTAATCCTTTTAATATTTTGATACTTCAAAATTTATTGACAGACAAATGAGAAGCATAATATAGTATATTTTTTAAAAGCAGATATTGTTTATTTATAGTGATGTTGTAAAAACAGACATGTAGGTGCATATTGTGATATTTTTACATCTTGAATCTACAAGTAGCTAGTATCAGTTAGTCATGTCTATGTATACATTATATACATTAGTCATGTCTGTATATTATTAAATCCATATACTTACATATAATACTTATCCTTGACTGAAGAATGCCATAATTGATGACAATTTTTTTTTTTAGTATTAAGGAATCCTATGTATAAATACTGTTCAATAAAATAATTTTAATTGATAATTGATACAACTACTAAAGCTATTCTCCATATACAGTTAAGAAGTGGAGAAACTAGAAAATTAAAATGTCTGTCAGAAGAAAAATAAAAGTAAAAACGTTATTGATTTTGATCTGAGATAGCATTTGTGCCCAGTGATTGTACAATTAGTTCTGTTTCATTGATGGTAGACTTTACCAATTCCAAAAAAATCAACGCAATTATACCTTTGCATAAATCCAGAGATGGAAAAATTGAGTAAAAACCCTGATAAAAGGGAATTTAAAACTCCTGAAAGACTTCACATGTGTAAGGCTGCATGCACCTTTGCATTTGCCTTTTGTACAAATCTAGATATACACAGAGGCTTCTACTTTGCTTCCATATGAAATGCAGCACTTATGCACACCCTCATTATGTGGGTGGTGAGGCACTGGAACAGGTTGCCCAGAGAAGTTTGGGATACCCCGTCTCGGGGAGTGTTCAAGGCCAGGTTGGATGGGGCTTTGGTTGACCTGGTCTAGCAGAAGGTTTCCTGCCCATGGCAGTGGTGTTGGAACTGGATGATCTTCAAGGTTCCTTCTAACCCAAACCATTTTAAGATTTTATGCTATGCCAAAAAATCTCCAAGCCACAGCTGATTGCTGTATATCATGATGAAGAGATTCTCATGCTAGGTTTGAAGCCAAAGACACTATCAACTGCGTGCTTGTGGAAAAAAAAAAGACACCACAAAACATGATTGCCTAGAGTGTACTGTGGTAAATACTTCATGTCAGTGCAATGTCTTTTAAATGTTTTCCAAGTAAAATCACCTGAATTATGAATGGTAGAATAGCATGCAATGAAGGAGAAAAATGGATAATAGGAATATGTTAATTGATTTTTGACATGATTTTTGATTTGCCAAATTTTGTGCTTTACTTTTGTTATCTGCTGCATTCTTTTTCTCCTGAAAAGTGGTGTTATAATGTGAATAGACATTTCCAATTTTACATGTAGATAGATAGATAGATAGAGATAGATGGAGATATCTGTTTATCAAATAAATACAGTAAAAAATTACTTCTGGTACCTACTATTAAAAATTTGGCTGAAACTGGTTGTAAAAATTAGCAAGATTTTCATCCTTTTTTTCAGGGCCTCTGAATTTTTTGTGTAACTTCATTGCTATTGAGAAGGTGTGGAAAAGGGTCAGTAACCCCATATTCTTCATATAATCAGGAATAATCAGGAAATGTAGAACTAAATATAGAGAAAAGGGAAAGTTAGTGAATCTATTTGCATATGCAAATTAGCTTAATTGATACTGCTTGCCTCTACAGGGATTTTTCATTACAAACTGGAGTGCTACATTGTTCAGCTCATATTGAGTAATTTAGTAACTAATGAGACCAGTTTGCACTAATTTGCATATGATAAATGAGCTTAATTGCAGTAAATAACTTGGAGGCATAATTACTTAATTTTCCTGTGTTGCATGGCTTTTAAGTTCACGTATGAACAACTCAAGATAATTTTGCATATTTAAATTAGTTGCTTTTAAAATTCTTGAACAAAAAGGAACACACCTTACAATTTGAACCGTAAAACAATTAAAAGTAAAATGTACAGTAATTTGAAATAAAATCTAATATTTTTAAAAATATAAGTTTCTTCCTTTAAAAATAGCAATGCCTTCTAGAAAACTTAATATTTAGATTCAATCACTATTGAATAGTTTTAAAGTCAGGCTAGGATAGAAAGATGGTATTAGTAATAATAATAGGAGTGTGTATTTGAAGTGTAGTGAGCAGTACACATTTTGTATTTCTACATACAAGAGTGATAACTTTCATAATTGCATTCTTTGCTTCAGCAGTGCCTACTCAACTGTTTAGAAACTGTAACACTTTCATATAGCATTACATTACCATACACAGTAACTTAGACACTAGTTGCCTTAAATTGTTTATACTGTCCTACTTCTACCTCATTTTGTGTAAAGAAATCCTTAAATTGGATAGATACCAAAGTGTCAGTGAAACAATTTTTTTCTTTTTGTGGGCTTATTCAGTCATGAGCACTGGCATGAATAAACCTTACGATGTAGATTCGCTTATGAGTTTCAAA